ATATTATTATCATTGTTATTCATTGATGTGAGTTGTTTATTATTATCCAAATCAACAATACGCGTATTGTCCATTTTGTTTGACGATAAGCGACGAATTAAATCTTCATCGGATGTTATAATTATCATTTTTGTTTGACCAGCCATCATATTTTTTTTCATGTTTCAATGACAAATTTCTTTTCTGTACTGCGTCATTTTTCTTTTCTGTAGCTTGTTATATGACGTTTTAAATAGAATAAAACGACAACAACAAACTATTACCGTCAGAAAGGAAAAAAAGCAGGAAGGTAAAAAAAAAGAAAAATCTTATTTTATTAAAGAAAAAGAGAAGAACAGAAAAAAACAGAAAAGAAACAGTTGTGCGTTATTTTTACTTTACGAACATTTATGATGTAGTCATCTATGCGTCATCGTTGCAAATGTAGATGATACAACCAATTGTTTTTATCTTAACACTAACGTACTTTCTGTATGAAAACATTTTGTTTCTTATTAGAGTAAAATAACTTTAAAAAAATAAGTTTAATTTATCATAATTTCCTTTTTTTATTTTCAAAAGTATAAATTCATAAAATTCTATTATTTAACAAACATCATCAATCAATCTTTTTGAAGATCATAGATATCTGTGTAAAATTTTGTTTTTGTATGGATTAACTACACAAATATTGATCAAACTTATAGCTTTTGGCTAAAACATAAAAGGAAGAAAACTGATTGCAAGAGTTTCAAGTTCTTAATATAGTTTTCATTGATCTATCACGTTGAATGTATGAGAAGGATAATGATAGAAATAAATGTCTCAAAAATTCTTGAAAATCTAATCAGCATTTATTTCTATTAAATCTCTTTTAGAACTTGATAAATCAAATAAGATATATCAGAAGAAAAGATCTTTGATGGAGACTATGAACAGATCTGTTATTTAAATATGTCATATTAAAAACAAAAAGAAAACTAAGAAATATGAAGAACAGATTGCATAACTGGTGCAATTTGATCAACTACATTGGATGATATCATTTGACAACGAATAAATTCTTGAGAGTTTTTCGATACTGATCGTATTTGAAACATTGCTGATAGTAATTGAATAAAATGTTCACATGCTTGACTTTCACCTTGTTTACTAATCAAATAATTCCAAAGTAGTTGGGTATAATGTTTCTGAGCTCGATGAACAGCTAATGGATCTTTTAATAGTGGTTCTTCAATATTCATTGATAAACCTGGAGTAAAAAGTACAATTAACATAAGAAGAGATAATAATGTTGAATCTTGACCAGTTAATTTACCAACCCTAGTCTCAATCCTGTTCATTCGTTGAGAAAACATGAAAGAATCTTTCAGGATCCTGTTTCAAATCCTGAAACTTCCTGTTTGAAGGATATTTTAAAGCAAAATAAAATCCCATTCAGGATTGGTTCAGGTTCCTATCAAGATCTTTTTGTCAAATTAAAATAAAGGATCCTGCTCAGGATTTGTCAAGGGAAAAAAGTGGATTCTTTCGGATTCTAGGATCCAGAAGAATCCGAAAGGATCCAAAGAATCTTAAGAATCTGGAAAGATCCATGAGAATCCAAGAGAGCCCATGAAGATCCAAAAGAATCCATGAGAATTCAAATAACAACTCAAACCAGTTTGAAACAATTCAATGAAATTCATCAGGAATCGTAAATATAAAGCCTGGATATTTGAAAATTCTTGAAAGTAAGTTAAGAGTGTAGTGTAATCTTAGTGATATACCGTATTTTTGTAAAAATTTTTTTATTTAACTGAAGTCAATTGCTCATCCGCTTTATTCGAATACAATAAGTTACAAAACAAAAACAAAAAAGTTAACGTTGCTTACTAGTTTGTTTTACTCGGAAACGTCTATCAAATGATAAATGATTTTTGTTTATTGTCAAAAGACGTGCGGCTGTTTGCTTAAGCATGTAGTAATGTTTACCATTAATAAGAATTTCGAAGTAATTATTTACTTCTGTTGAATTTATTTTCTCATAAATTTTCATGCCGTAGAATGTTTGTTTGGTTGTTTCAAGATTGCATGCTTCTTGTTCTTCTTGTTGGTATGTATGATTTTAGTCGAAAATAAAAATGTCGAAAAGGTTAAAAACGATGGGAGTAAGACCTTAGCAGTATCACTGTTATCAGAAATAAACAATAGGTAAAAGTATGTTTTTAATCATTTTATTCAAACAAGGGTGAGAGTGTGGGTGTGGGTGTGGGTGTGGGTGTGGGTGTGAGTGTGCGTGTGGGTATTAACAAGTCTTCTTCGCCCACGCTCATTCATAAACCATATTCGAAGTTTTCGACATTTTTCTTTTCGACATTGCGTATTCGACATTTATCCATTCGACATTTTTCCTTTCGACTAAAGTCAATACATTCTTCTTGTTCATCAAATGAATCTTCACTACATTCAACTAAATCATTATCGTGAGACTGATCGATTGCATCATCATCATCGTCGTTATCTAAACTATCATAAGCATCATAACTGTTAATAACTGAATGATCAACTGTTGATCTTTTATTAAGTTCATGAAGTACAAATGAACTAAGTTTATAAATATCATTTAAATTGGATTGATTCAAGACTTCTATTAATTGAAAATTATTCATGATTGATTCTGCTTTTTCATAAGCCTTTATTATTATATTTTCTATATCCTGTATAGTAACTGTTGATATGTCTTGAGTAGTTGCAGATGTATTCGATTCATCACGACGATATTTCTGATGTCTTCGAAATTTCAAAGAAGATTTATTATTATTAGATTTTTCTGTTGACTTTATTTGGTTCAACTGGGAGATTTTTGCAACTTTATTTATAAACTGATATATTGAGAATGTTGTTATTGTTGATAAAGATCCTGATACAGATCGACCACTACGGAACGTTGATTCGCCTGGTTGATTGATAAATAGATAAGAATTGAGGGCATATGATGGTAGAGTTCCTTTGAGAACTAATAAAATGATAAATGTTAAAGTATGTACATTAATTTCAGAAGAAAGTCAAGCGGCTCGTGTGATAAAAGAATTATCTTTTTCTGTTTGAGTTAAGTTCTTATTGATTCGAATACTATACCTAGAAAACAATTTTGAAATGAACAGATAAACACGTTTTTAGTTTTTACCACCAAATTCTGTATGAAAATACAACAACCCAACCAAAATATAATCTAGAAAGTATATCTCTACTTGATTTAACATAAGCAAGTATAAATTAATGTATATTGCTCAACGATTTATTTGTTTTGATAAAGTTACAACGTCATCTGATGTAATTTTCAAGCAAGAAGTGTAATTCTGCTTATCATGTAGCATAATATCAGATCGAACCAAATCATGATCAAGTTTTGCATGACTGTTAATTAAATCAAGTAAATGATTAATATTAATAGAATCATTATTAATATAAAAAGTGGAAATATCAGACAATAGACGATTACGAATCTTGGTCACCAAGTGCGGCCCGTCTTGCATGCATAAGAACAATTGTTGAGGTCTCATGAAAAAAAAACTTCCAATTAAATGGTACATCAATTGTAAATATGTTCTCATTTCCTGTTAATAAATCAGCATTAGGTGTTCTAGAAAAGAAACCTAAAGGTAGCCTCATGACTTTGAAATATCTTGAGGCACAGTCAATTGAAAAACTAACTAGATTGATATTACGTTCTTTGCATTGATTGCAAATATAAATCCATCTACGTATAGTATCATATGCAGAATGCTTATTATCAATACCATAAACACTCAAAATATACGGCCTAGAATGAATTGATGATGTTAAATCTGTTAATAATGGTTCAATTAGTATGTGTATTGAGCGATATTTTTAAAAATTGATAGCTATATAAAATATGTAGAATTGCTGAGTTTACATTTTAGCTCATTATTTTACAAGTAACGCTCGTCTGCCGGCTCGCTCAGCTCTTTCTCGTAGAAATCGTATTCTACAATACTAAACTTTTTGCTTATACAGTTTGGAAAAATTAACACCAGATTTGTGTTCTTCCACCCCACTTACCCTTCGGTCACCCCTTATGAAATTTTTTTTTTATAAAAATTGGTTCTCTCTCGAAAAAAGTGATCCATAAAATTATTTTATAAACTAACATCAGATTCGAAGTCTCCGCATCGAAATGCCCCAAAAATACCTTTTCTAAAAAATCGATTCTCGAATTACCCTCTGGTAAAACTTTCTTCGAACTATCTTTAAGATTAATAATATTAATTAATTATTAATTGATTTTTAACTAAAACTAACCTCACATTCGAATTCATGGCACTCGATTACCCTTCGGTCAAACTTTTTTTTTTAATTAATAATTTCAATTATTAACTGATTATTAACTAATTATTAATTGATTGTTAACTAAAAGTAACCTCAGATTCGGATTTTCCACACTCGATTACCCTTCGGTGAAACTTTACTCGAACATATAATAATACTAATTATTAACTGATTATTAACTAGTTAGTTTTAATAAACTAACCTCAGATTCAAGTTCCCCACCCTCGATCTCCTCGCCCCCCCCCAAACGTTTTCCAGAAGTATCTGAAAAATTAAATTTCAATGTTTTTTTGACCCTGCGGACGGACAAGCAATCAAGCAATCAGACAGTTTATGTTTACTGGACTCTTCTCTACGAGAAAGAGAATAAATAAAAGATTAATATTTACTAAGAACTACAGTCTGTAAAAAGATTGATAAAACACTCCTACATATAACGCCTGTTATTTTATATTGAATATTTTTGAAATAATGTATTTTTCC